TATAACAAATGAGCAACCATTTTATTGTGTTCACAGATCCGGTGGGTTAGGTATTTGGAAAGGACACAGTTGGGGGGTGGGGGTTCTCACTTGGGGTCTCTCATGCAGTTGTAGTCCAATTTTGGCTGGGGCTATAGTCCAGGCTCCCCTGGACTCCACATCCAAGTGGCTCACTGACAGGGCTGGCTGTCGGCTGGGAGTTCAGCATCTTTCTCAACCACAGTGTCTGCATGTGGCCTCACCGGCATGGCGGGTCTAGTCAGACTTCAAGGGCATTCTAAGAGAACTAGGTGGAGGAAACTGCATGACCTTTTCTGACTTAGACCCTGAAGTCACATAGTTATGCTTTTGCTGTGAATTATTGGTTATAGGTGAGTCACCAGCACATTCATGTCCAAGGGAAGGGACCTAGATTCCACTTCTCAAGGGAGGATTCTTAAAAAATTTGCAGATGTGTTGAAAACCACCATAGTCCATTTTATGGCCAAAAATTATCCACATTCTCCTATATGCAGAATGCAGTTACCCTCCCTAAGACCTCCCCCAAATCTTAATCCTGTTAGGCCGTATGTATTAGGCTCAGGCTTGAAGTCTAGGCTTTCATGTTCTAAATCAAGTGTAGGTGGTGAGGACCCTCCTCAAAGTCACTTCCTCAAGTTGTTCCTCTCAGTCCGAATACCCGTGAACTGAATAGGTAAGTCACCTGCTCTCGACATACCCATCATGGAATAGAAAGGTTCAGGATAGCCACTGCAGATACTTCCATTCAAAGAACAGAGAGCACGCCACAGTCAGTGGTCCACAGCACCTCTGAAATCCAACCTGCACCATGCTGCCAGTTCTTTGATGAGAGCTCAGTCCCACTCTTTGGGAGTTGTGCTCCCTGGCTCTGGCATCTGTCTTTTGGGCTCTTGGTTCTGCCCTGTAAGTCATTCTTCCAAAAGGAAACTGACTTTGCAAACAGAGTAATCTTGTCAGTCTGGCTCCTGCCTATAAAAGGTGGAGGGTCCAAAGGCTTTTATTTCATTTTGTTCTGCTCTGTCACTTTCAAGCTAATATAATTCCTTTAAAAATGTAATGGGCTTCCTGTGTTTCCATTTATAATCACGCCATTAGACAAAAGCCATGCCAACAAATCTTGGAGATAAGCTTTTCTCTTTCTTGGACTCCCCATGAGGTGGCTGTGGAACTGTGCCCTTAAGATTCTTAGGAGCTGTATTATTTAAAGGGAGGACATACAAGGCACATTCTTCAGACACTGAGAGGCCTATTGTCTGGTTGAAATGGTCTATCAAATCTTCCTGAGGCCTTAACAAATGGTCTGAAAGCTCCACCCTGCATTTGATTTTTTTGTTCTGAGGCCACTTCTTAATATTCAAATCACTGGCCTTCTGGAGATGCTGGGGATGAGAAACAGTTTTGTTTTTTTTTTTCTTTCCATGACCGGTAAGGGGATCGCAACCCTTGGCTTGGTGTTGCCTGCACTGCGCTCAGCCAGTGAGCGCACCAGCCATCCCTATATAGGATCCAAACACGCGGCCTCGGCGCCCCAAGCGCCACTGCGCTCCCAGCGCCGCACTCTCCTGAGTGAGCCATGGAGTCAGCCCAGAAACAGTTTTATTTTTGAATCTAGCAAGTATTAGCTGGCTTTATATTTTCTCCAAATTCTACTCAACACCTGAATAGTCATTCTTTAATTACTAGATCTCTCTTCTCTCTCATTTTATTACAGACAGCTAGAAGCAGCCAGCATTTTCAACACTTTGCCAGAAATCTTTAGTTAGATCATCCAGTTCACTGGGTACATTTTCTATTTTCCACATTGTCACTGGCGACAGTTTTGTAACTGTTGCTCTTCTACATAACAAAGGTATCCTTTCCTTGGTCTTCCAATAGCATTTGCTTTTTTTCCTTCTCTCTGACAGCCTCCTCAAGGTTCTAGGCCTCTCTAACAATCTCCTCCGTGTCTTTCCAGTCCTACCTGCCCCCTGGTTGTAAAGCCAGTGCCACCTATTTTAGGTTTCTGTTGATCACAGCAGCCCTCCACTTTTAGATACCAAATTTCCGTTCCAGTGTTCATCGCTGCATAGCAAACCATCATAAACTGGGTGACATAAAACGACAGCCACTTGATCGTGCTTATGGATCCTGTGGGTGAGGAAGTTGGCAAAGGCAGTTTCTCACTTGGGTTCCCTCACACGGTTGCAGTTGGGTGTTGCCTGGGCTGGAGTCACCTGCCGACTTGGCTGAGCTGATCTTCAAGATGGCTCGCTCCCATGGCTGGCAGTTGACGCCACTGCCAGCTCAGCTGCACTGTCTGCGGGACTGTCCACCAACCTGGTGGCCTCAGGGCAGCCAGACTTCTTACATGGCTCCTAGCTTCCCCCAGAGTGAGCGTCCCAAGGGAACGATATGGAAACCACATGGTTTCTTGTGACCTAGCCTCGGAACTCACATGGTTTTGCTTTGGTTTCATTAAGAGCAAGTCACGAGCCTACCCAGATCCAAAGGGAGGGGACTAGATTGCCTCTCTATGAAAAAAGTGTCAAAGAATTTTTGCACTTTTTAAAACTGCTTGCACCCGGAGCAGTGTCTGGCAAAAGGTGGACCTCACTATACAATTGTCTAATGAATGAATGAGAATCCAGTAAGTAGCCCTGTCAGCCTCTCTTGTTGTCTGCTTGTTAGTCTTTGGACAATACAGTTTGACCCCTGTATTAACAGGTTATGTTATAATGGGGCTTTCCTGTATTTATAATGTAAGGGCATGGTAGATCACATTGTACACATTTTACTCCAAATGGGTTAGAAAGCTAACAATTTTTTTTTCAAAAGCCATTAAAATAATAGATAAAAATACAGAAGGATGTTTATGTAATTTTGGAATAGGAAAGGCCTTTGTAAGCAAGATTTAAAAACCAAGCAGCCACAAGGGAAAAATTTTAAATATTAGACCATATAAAAAATTTAAATGTCTGTACAGGAAAAGATACCATAAATAAAGCTGAAAGTTAAAAAATAAACTGGGTAAAGTATTTGCAGTCTAAATAACAGACAACAAACTAGGCAATGTAATATAGGAATAAAGTAGTATCCCTCCCCCAGGGCTGTCGGGAGGATTAAATGAAATTAAGTGTCCAAAGGATATACTTAATTAATGATAGATGCTATCCATGCTTTTATAAAGAACACCTACAGATTAAGTTTTTTATAAAAAGATGGCTAATTAGGAAAGGGATATAAATGGACAATTCATGGAAAAATATAAGTGGCCAATAAACATATGAAAGCAAGTGCTGCCTCACTCCTGATTAAATAAATGCAGATTAAGTCTACCATGAAAAATTTTTTCCATCTGTAAGACTATCAAGGATGACGAAGAATGATAACCGTGTCAGTGCTGGCAAAGATGGAGGGACAATGATGCTCTGATTTCCCGTTGGTGGAGTAGAAATTGTACGGTATTTAGGAAAGCAGTCTTGCTTATTTATTAAAACTAAAACTGTACATGCCCTTTGACATGGCAGTTTCCACCTTCAGACATACTAGTCTCAATGCATAAAGAAGTAAATACCATAATATTTTTTGGAAACCAGGTTTTCAGTATAGGAATGGTTAAATAAAATGTGATCTGTTTATGCAATGGTAAGCTATCCAGCTGCTAAAAAAAAAAAGGAGGTATATCCTGACATGGAAAGAACTCCAAAATAGATTGTTAAGTGGAAGGGGGAAAAAAGCAAGTTTCAAAACGGTACGTTTAAGATTCAATTTTTGTTTAAAAATTATTCATAGTGGAAATGAGGGAATGCATAAAGAAGTAAATACCATAATATTTTTTGGAAACCAGGTTTTCAGCATAGGAATGGTTAAATAAAATGTGATCTATTTATGCAATGGTAAGCTATCCAGCTGCTAAAAAAAAAGAGGAGGTATATCCTGACATGGAAAGAACTCCAAAATAGATTGTTAAGTGGAAGGGGGAAAAAAGCAAATTTCAAAACGGTACGTTTAAGATTCAATTTTTGTTTAAAAATTATTCATAGTGGAAATGAGGACTTAGAGAAGAAAGACAAATTTGGAAGTATGTATACAGAAAAACTGTTGGTTGCCTTTGAGGGACAAGGTTATAAGTCTGTTAATATATATTAATGACACTTGAGTCTTGCATGACGGATACATATGTGATGATTAGGTAAAGATCCAAGAAAGGAAATGGATAGAGACAGATAGAGCTGATTGATTTAGAACAACAGACAGGAAACAATTGTTTCCATTACTTTCCCTATATTGAGCAATAATGCAAATCTCTGACTCTAAATTTTAATGTAAATCAAATTTTAATACAAATTAAAATCCCTTCTGGGAAATTTGTGGTTGAGTAGACCCAAATAAATGGAAAATTTAAATCTTTGTATGTCTTTTTTATTTTCCTTTAGTCTTTCAGAGGACAATGGCCATAAGATAAAGGTTCTTAATGGAAATGTTTCACCAGTTAATGTTTGTTTTTCCTTAGAGGTTTTTAATTGTTAGCCCCACCAGTAAAAATCTCTATTAAGGAAAAATTTCCTCCTCGGCAGAAAAGCAGTTTCTTTAGTTCTGTTGCTTCAAGATTAGTGGTTTATTGTACCCAAGAGATGTATATAATGGGATATTTTACACTATGTATCTCTCCCTTAACAGACTACTAAAAAGTAGATTAGTAGAGTGATAAACCGTGAAAGCTGTTTGACTTCAGTTATAACATGTGCTTTATATTTACAGTTCGCCTGCGTCAGTGACATCTAAGCACCTGCAGTGTGAGTGTGGACTAATATTTTCCTGCAATGTTTGTTAACTTCTTAATCTAAGTACCTTTCATTTCCCACTTACATCCGAACGTAGTTATTTCCTACTGTGTATAAACGTGTGTTTTCTAACTAATCAATTTTATGCAACTCAATTTTACATAAGGAATTTTTTTTGTGGTTTGTTTTACCCTCTTTGCATTTCCTACAGAAGTCCTGGAGGGGATTTGGGAGCCAAAAAGAAAAAGAAGAAACAGAAGAGAAAAAAGGAGAAACCAAATTCTGGAGGCACCAAGTCCGACTCGGCATCGGATTCCCAGGAGATTAAAACTCAGCAGCCTTCAAAAGTGAGAGGCCTGTTTTATTTTCACCTCTGTGGTTTTTTATGCATATGAGAGTGGGCTCACGCAGCTCAGTGCCTGTTGGATCAGATGTGTAGTTAGGGTTTTGCTGTGACTGTGTGTTGAATGGCATTAGTAACTGGAGGGTACTTACAGACTCCCTAAAACTGACTTTGGCACCCAAGTAACTAAGAGGTACATATTGTGCTGTCATATGCCTGTATTCTCCCCTTTCTCAGTGAATTCGTATTTAGATTGTAGTTGTGGAAGAAAGTCGCAGTGTGAGCTTGTTAGGTTTTTTTGAAGTTACACTTAATATTTGATTACTTTTAGTTCAGAAGATATTCACATTTTAATTTCTCTGGGTGTCTGTCTAATTACCTGAATAGCACAACACCATCTGGCAGCAGATTTCTGCGGGAGCAGCCATGGGTAAGTCTCACGTTGACTTTGAATCAGACCAGTCTTCAGTGGCCATCCTTCATTCTATTGCCAAAGGTGGGAAATATCTCCTAACGTTCTCCCTGAAGAAATGCCTGTTTTAGACCACATCAGAAGTAGTCTGGCTGGGCCCCATGTTGGCAGATGGCCAGCCAAGCAGAGGGTCGGTTGTTCTGTGTGGGTGACCAGTGGTACAGATGGCAGCTACCCCGTCTGTGGCACCAACCCCAGTCACCCTAGCTGAGAACATAGCCCTCGTGTGCTGGGCACGCCCAGAAGCACAGAGCCCTCTTGATGCAAGAAACTCACAGCAAACAGGGGTAGAGTTGGAAGTATCAAAAAGTGAGATGATTTTGATGATTGTATCTCCAAGTAAGTTATGGTGATAGTCTGGGGTGTCATGAAAATGGCTCAGGAGGTGGTGTGGGAGACCTGGAGCTTGGCCCTTGCTCCACTGCTCAGGAGCCGTGTGACTTTGCCCACCACACTGCACCTCATTCAGCCCTCTCCTTATCTGTAAAACGGGGAGACACCTTCTCCCCAACTCACAGGGCTGTATGAGGTTAAAATGATATTTTTATTAAAGAGATTTTGTATTATAAAACACTGTCTATATGACAGTTTACCACCACTATGCAAGTTTTGTGGGTTCACTTTTTTTTTTCCTTGTACAAAGTTTATATTCTGTCCCACGAAGTGAGTCTTGCAGGGAGTTTTGTCGTTGTTGCCTGTTTTATGCAAAAGGACCAGGAATCACTGAGCAGGAAAATTACCTGCCCCCATTTTTCCCTGACTGGCTTGGTGAGGTGAGAAGAGAACGGAGTCTCCCTCCCTAGCTTTTCAGCTGGGTTCTCAGGTAATAAATATTCTATCCACTAGACATAACAGCCGAGCTGACTCATAGGAGGAGACCACCATGAGCTTGCAAACTATTTTTCCCATTTCTAAATGTTGCGTCATTGGATGAGTGCGGTGTCGCTTATACGCAGTGTGGACATCTCCCTTTGCTGCTACCATCACCATCGGCTTCTGCCCGTCCCCTCTGCCCCTAGTGGTTCCGAGCCCTTCCCTCACCTCTGGTCACTTACAGGAAACTAGAACCAACCAAGGCAGGAGGAACTGCTAACATTCACTGTATGGTGGGGAATTTCTTTTCTTTTCTTTGTCTAATTAGGAGCAAGTCAACAGTGTTTTAATGTGGGCTTTTCTCCATTGCATTTTTAAAAACTGGGGTTCTTTTCCCTTATTAGATCTAGATAATACCATAAATTACAGTGGACTGAGTTTAGAGAATATTCTGGTCTGTACTCAAGAATCAAAATAAAAATGATATTTGTCTGGATTTTTATAGACTTCTTAGTGGTAGAGGACTTGGGCATTTTTTCCAGAGTTCTAAATTTGGAAAATAATGGGTGAAGTGTATAGTTGATGTTTAGTATTTAGTTTAAAGGAGCAAACGTGAGAGAAAAGTGGAATACCTGCCTCTGACACAGGAATATAATGGGGGGTAGTTAGTGTGGGGCTGATAAATGTTCTCACTTTTCCTGATAATAATTCACTTCTCCCCAGGTGGTTGCTAGGGAAGGTGAATGGATCGGTTTGAGGATTTATCCTAGCTGAGTTTTCCTCACTTCTTTGTCACTGTGGATTTGAAAAACTGTGCTTACTCGAATCCACTTTCATAAAGCATTTCAATCGAGAACACTGAGATATCAGTATTTCACAAATGGTCATTTGATGTAGAGAATGCTGGCCAGCCTGGTGAGGCTAATTAGGTAAGGTACAAGCCACTCCAAGGTCCTCTTTAGGGAGTTGGGACATCACTGGCTCCATTGGGACAAAGACGCTGATTCATGACACTTGCAAAATGAGTTTGATACATTAGTATTAGAAGATGTAACTCAAATATCAGGAAAGAAAAATTATAGCAAATTTGGTATAGATGCCATAGATATATTTTTATAAGACTGGGTTCTACTTTGCGTTTTTAAGCTACCTTATGCACGTTCAAGCGTTATTCCTTGAGATATGCTGTGAACTCAGTTCCTATTTAAGTTGTAGGTCTTCTAGTAGATTGTGTTGTTGGCGGTTCAAATGGATGTAAATTTCATTTTGCTAGAAATCAATTTCTTTTAATGTTGGAGGCTCAGAAGAGACCTAAGAAAAAGAAATAATCCAAAAATATAAAAACTTAGAACAGCAGAAGTATTTTGTAAAATTTGTATGTCATTAAGATATGATCCTTATGATTTTGATCTCAAAGATAAGATAAACAGCTTACAAAAATTGTGGCAATCCTGGGTTATGCCATTAGACATCTAAGTGGAGATACTAAACCTTTAAACTACCTCCAGTGAGACTTCAGGACTTTGTTTCGTTAAATCATTTTAGTGTCAAGAACCCTAAGGAAACCCAGCAAGTAAAGCAACCACAGGACAGTCTATATTAAATAAACCCTGCTCTGTACTGTGTTACACACATAGCGTCCCAGGTTAAAATTATTTGCTCCAGACCACAGATTGCAGATTCAAGGCCGAGCAGACAGTCTATATTAAATAAACCCTGCTCTGTACTGTGTTACACACGTAGCGTCCCAGGTTAAAATTATTTGCTCCAGACCACAGATTGCAGATTCAAGGCCGAGCAGAAGTCCAAAGTTGCTGTTTATAAAACACTGAGAGGCGATTGTATTTTATTAGTTGTCCATGGTGTGTTGACGTCCTCCTACAGAAAAACCCCAGGGCTCTGAGATTTCTTCTAATTTCTGAAGTACAGCAAAGACTATTCTTTGTATAGCATCAAAAGTCTAAACTTCTCAGTTATTTTGCGTACTGAAGAAAGTCACTGATTTCCATAGTCAGTCCCATTATGTGCTCTCATGTCAAGTATAGTTTCATGTTCCATGCATTACTATGTTATTTTAAGAATTAAAAAAAAAAAAAAAAGAGTGTGGGAATCTTTAGGAGATAACAGAATATTAGCCTTGAGAAAGGAAATGTAGAATTTAAAGGTATTGTCCCTTTTATAGTCTTGAAAACATCTTTTACCTAAAAAGGAGGCTAGTTTTCAACACTTGGGTTGGGGAGATGGTTGCTGAGGGTCTGGATTTACAGAGGAAGCTGCTCGTCCTTCTGGTCGGAGGGTTTATCTCTAAAGAAGCACGAGGGCTGGGAGAAGGGCAGTGTGGAGTCCAGGAGGAAGGGGCCTGGGTAGAGTTTCCTTCCTTGATCATTTCCTTCCCAGCTCAGCACTAAGTTCAGATTTCTTTGGTTCATTCTTTCGTTGTTTTAATGAACTGAAATTTCCCTTGTCTGCCTAGTTCCCTTTCTAGAAGTTATTTCCTTTGTGCCCCCGCCCCCCCCTCCCCCCATTGCTACTGCAAAGCATTAATCCTGACAGTGCAACCAAGGCTGGTGGCTGCCTGGCTGCTGTATGACAGTAATGCATGCATTGCATGTCACTCTTTTTGGCTTCTCCTTCCAGGGGAGTCATGGGAGCACCATTGGCAGATGGGTAGGAAACTGAAGTAAAGGGAGATTTGATCTACTTTAGATTTCCCAAACTGCTAAAGCCCCATTGAAACTGTAGAACTGTTGGTATCTTTAACAGAGTGTTTGCTTATAGTTTAATTTAACATTCTTGAGCCATGGCCTTGACCAGGTTTGGAGGATTGTTAGTTTTAGGTATTGCAGTCTCCCAGGCAGACACATGTGCATTTGCCCCAAGTTTAAGAGCAGTGGCAGCTTCCTCACCTCTTGTGTCTCTGTGCCTTTGCTGTCGTAGAATCCCACCATCCCAATGCAGAAGTTGCAGGACATCCAGAGAGCAATGGAGCTGTTATCTGCGTGCCAGGGCCCGGCCAGGAACATTGATGAGGCTGCAAAACACAGATACCAGTTTTGGGATACACAGCCAGTACCCAAACTAAGTAAGCTCTCTGCTTTTATTTATTTATTTTCCCCCAAAACAAAGATGGATTAAGGCTTTACTTACATCACTTGTGTCATACCACAGATTTAAAATTTACACAAAAGTAATATTTTTCTTCTTAAAATATAAATATCAGGTAGTGTCATTGGACTTCAGTAACAACGATTTTAGTCTAATTCCTCCCAATCCCTATAAAAATATCCAGTTTTCCCATACTCAAAACATTCGAGTATTAAATATATATAAAAGAGGGATTCACCCTTATTTTTTGTTTCTGAGCTTCATGGAGTTTTTTCCTATACATAAATTTTAGCAGTTTTACTCCTGAGTTAATCCAAAAGACTATTTGCCCTTTTATATTTCACTGAAATGGAAAGTTTTGTATTATTCAACAAAAGGATCCTGAACACTCACCAGTGATGTTAATTAATCTCAATAAAATATCACCAATGACATTCATTAGTATCAACTCAGTAACATCCCGGCACCATCAGGGAACCGGGCACCTCACGGAGGCCTTCAGAAGGGCGTTGATTCAAGTAAGAAATTATCACGAGGCCATGTCCCTGGGTATGGTGCCTGGTCCATCACATTTCACTTAAGACTTTTACCATTTAGGTTGCCATAAATGTAATTTAATTGTTCCTCTTTCACATTATGCAAAGAAGATGTTAGAAATGCCATAAAAATGCTCAAAGATGTATTACAACCTAAATCTGCCGTATTGTCTTATGTGTATATGGAGATAGTTTATCATATAATTATTTCTATTTTTTTCTTTATTGATTGTTCAGGTTCCAGAATTTGAATCATATATAAAGGGTTAATTGCCATCCAAAACTCTTAATCGGCAAGCTGTGTACAAATAATCTGTTTTGTGAACTATAAGTGAGGGAACGGTCCTTTTCTGTGCCTTCAAATATTGTTTCTCAAACATTTTTAAAGCTAACCATCTTCTCCCACCCATGCCCACCCCAAACAGCTTTAAAAAAATGAGATTCTGAGCATGAAAGAAGAAAGAAAGATCTCAGCTTGCCTTTTTCCTTTAAGGCTCTAGAAATGTATTTGGTAATGGAGGAAGACTCTAGAATGAATTTACAGGATTCTAAATGCCACTGAAGTAAGTGACCGTTAGCTAAAGGGATCTAGATGTACTGATCTAAATGACTGGGGGTAGCCAAATGCTGCTTGGTGAGCTGCTGGTCCACCCTGTGGAGGAGAAAGCCACTTCCAGCTGGCACCTAACCCCAGGGCACCTCTATGGGAAGAGAGCACAGGTGCTCCCCACGTGTTCTGAGTCCTTGCATGATTCTTCAGTTCCTAGAACTCTTGGAGCATGAAGCCAGGTTGGTGAGGGAAGAGCGAGCCTAGGTCAGGGAGAACATTTGAAGTCAGGGAGACCCTGCCTCTCCATTTCTGTCCAGCCAGAGCACGTCCCAGTTCAGTTCAGACACACCTAAGCTGTTGGGAGCTGCATACCTGAGTTCGTCCTGGGGAAATTGTATGAGAGCCAAGCCATAAGCAGTGGTCACCAGGGACTCTGTTAGGAGTGACTGGGAATTTGGCCATTTGGGCTGACTTGGGGGAGCCCAAGGTATTCCTATGGAGATGAGCTGGTAAAGTGGAGATAAGAGTAACCAAGTTAGAGATTAGACCAAAGAGGAAGAGAAACCATATGGGGGTTCTTCAAAAAACTCAAAATAGAACTACCATATGACCCAGTAATCCTCTTCTGGGTATATTTCCAAAGGAGCTCAAATCAGGATGTCAGAGGGTACCTGCACTCCGTGTTCATCACAGCACTATTCATAGTAGTCAAAATACGGAAACAACCCAAGTGTCCATCAAAGGATGAATGGATAAAGAAAATGTGGTATATATAAACAATGGAATACTATTCAGCCTTAAAAAGGGGGGAAATCTTGTCATTTGCAACAACATGGATGAACCTGGAGGACATTATGCTACGTGAAATAGTCAGGCACAGAAAGACAAATACTGCATGGTCTCACATATACGTGGCATCTGATAAAGTTGAACTCATAGAAGTAGAGAGTAGAGCAATGGTTACCAGAGGCTGGGGGGTGCTGGGGAAGGAAAGAAAAGGGAGTTTCTGATCAAAGAGTACAAAGTTTCAGATAGACAAGAGGAATCGGTTTGAAGACCTATTGTATAGCAGGTGACTATAGTCAATAATGATATGTATTTCAAAATAACTAAGAGTAAATTGGAGATGTCTCACCGTAAAAAATGACAGGTAAGCAAGGTGATGGATATGTTAATTTGTTTGATTTAATCATACCACATTATATTCTTATATCAAAACATCACATCGTACTCCCTAAATGTATACAATTATGATTTTTTTTTCCGACCAGTAAGGGGATCACAACCCTCAGCACCACGCTCAGCCAGTGAGTGTACCGGCCATCCCCATATAGGATCCGAACCCATGGCCTCGGCGCTACCAGCGCTGCACTCTCCTAGTGAGCCATGGGGCTGGCCCATGATTTGTTAATTAACAAAGAAAGAACTCCCCAGGAGTCGGTACAAGCCCTGTGGCTTCTACCTGTGGGATGTTCTGTGATGAGTAAAACCCCATTGAGAGTTCTTCATTCCGCAGATGTTGGTTGAGTGCCTGTTAGTAAATGCCAAGCACCGTGTAGGGTATATATGGATGGAGAGACACAGTAGTGGAAAAGTAGGACAAATGGTGGCCAGGCAGGGACATGGAGGGAGACAGTAGGTAGGAAAACCTTTTGTTAGGGAAGATGCTGTGTGAAAGCAATGTGTAAGCTTCTGTGAGAAATTCCAAGGAACCAGCCATGTGATGACCAGAGGACAGAGCCCCAAGCAGAGAGAAGACACCAGAGAGGCCCTGGGCTGAGGCAGTCCAGAGGGAGGGCGTGAGGAGGGTGTGAGCAGGAGGCAGTGGCCACTGGGAAGGGCCTCAGTTTATTCCCACCATGCTGGGAACCTCTCAGAGAATGAATGGGAAGAAGGCATCTAGGTGGAAATCGCTCAAGTCTGTGACAGCGTGAACTACACAGCCAGTAGGACGGATGAAGAGAAGTAACCAGTCTCAAAATTAATTTTAAATTTTGTTGGGAGGGGTCAGAGGTCACTGCAGCCACCCCCCCCACCCCCCCACCCCC